TTTCCTGTTGAGAGTTCGGGCAGTGTGTATGAACGTGGCCTTTTTGTTTACAAGCAAAACATTCAACGTTTTTAAGCCAATCCTTAACGTTGAAATCCTTAGCTTTTCCATTCGGAGCTTTGAAGTCAGTTTGTTTGTCTGATATATTTTGCGATGAAGTTTGAGATGTTTTAATCTCATTCTTTTGTGAAAATGAAGTCCTATTCTGTTCCCTGATAGTTTTAATTTCTTGTGCTCGAGATAAGGCAATCTTTAATGACGTAATTTTTTCTAACTGAAGTATTTCTTTAATCCCTTTATTAAAAATACCAGTGATGAATTGAGAACAAACTATTTTATCCTGAACTTCACTAGAACATTCCGAATAAGCTAAAGTAGCTAATCTTTCAATATCAGCAGCCAAAGTCGGAAAATCTTCTCCTAGTTTTTGACATCTGGTGTGAAAGAGTGAATAACTAATAGATTCTAAATGTTTGTCCCCGAATCTTTCTTCTAATTTCTGTATCAGTGAATGAAAAGTTATTGTTTCAGATGTCGGATAACTTCTAAGAATAGATCGAGCATCACCACGTAAGCACGAACCTAAAACTACCATCTTTTTATCATCTGTCCAACGATTAGCTTTTGAAATAAGCTCAAACTGACACAAAAATTCGCAAAGTGGTGCTGAACCATCGTATGTATCGACTTTTAGAGTGTAACCTATCCCTAGATCTGTGAGTGGAATCGGTGTATTCGTTGCTGGATATGCTTGCGCGAGGTTGGGTTGAGCATGTGACAAAATACGTGTGTTTGTGAGGTTAGAAGGATAGCGACTTAGCTGGTTGACTTCCTGACGAAGTCGGTTGAACTCTCGACGAAGCTCAGAGAAGTCTGTATTACGCGCACGCAGCTCTGTTACGAGACTCTGCTCTTGGCTGGCCTGTAGCTGTAGCGCCTCTTCAAGTTCACAGCGTTGAGCTTTTTCAGCATCCAGCTGAGCGCGCAATGTTGTCACTTCTTGAAGAAGATCATCGGACATTGCTCGCGACTCGCTCAACGACAGCAATGCCTCTTGCAGAGCCGAATTAGCGGTCGATGCAACAGCAGGAAGTACAGGGTGCAGTGCAGGAGTATCTGAAGGGCCACTTAAATTCGGAAAAAATAAATTAGTACCTGTATGTTGGGTTATGTCTGTGACATCCGATTGTTGTTCGAAATGTCCTTGTGTATTAGTGGCGATATCAGAGGCAGCAGCTATTGCAGCAGCAACCGAAGCGGCATCAGCAACATGCGGAGCAGCAATATTCGTCGTAATTGTATTAGCGCTTGCCGCTGCCTGCGCTCTTGTCCTCGGTGGTGTCCGGTGTGTAGACATAGTTGAGATTCAAACTTAATAGAAGAAACAAATGTCGGATCCCGGATGAGCCCCCAAAATGTTATAACCACTACTAATTAATGAAATAAAATACAACGATATGTAAAAGAAACTAAAACTTGTATTAGAATCGTTGAAAATAGCGTGTGTATATAATATCAGCTCATGAACACAACTAACTAACTAATAATAATACAGATTACTTAGCAACCAAACAATCACTTAGTAACCAACAAATTGGAACGTATCGAATATACTACAATATTAATAATCATGTTATCAAATCTAGTGAATCAGCGAAATTTCTAGGTATCATTTTTGATTACAGATTTACGTTCGAAGCTCACATAAATACGATCACCCAAAAATGTTCAAATAGAAATAATATTATTAAATTTCTTTGTGGTATCCATTGGGGTTCCCACCCTAGCACGTTAATCTCACTATATAAAAGTTTCATCCGATCAATTATTGATTACGGTAGTTTCATATTCTATCCTAAAGCTAAAAAATTTCAGGATGCCTTAGAAAAAATTCAATTAGACAGTCTCAGGCCCTCTATGGGCTATCGCAAAACTACTTCGACTAATGTAATTGTTGCTGAATCAAAGCTGCAAACTATAGCTGAACGAACGCGCTTTTTAGCTAAATGTTATTTAACTAAAATTCTTTCTAATTCAAATCTTCTTGTTTATAATACAATACTTGATTATCTTCAATTTCTAAATAAATGTAGTAATCTCAAAACTCATCGCTTTATAAACTCTTGTATAATGGATATCAGTAAGCTAAATATTATAGCGCATAAAAATTTAAATTTATACTGTTATGATTATAAAACCACTGTTACAAGTATTGACATTAATGCAGACTTAGGTTATAGTCTTAAAATAAGTAAAGAACCAAATAAAATCTTAGATAAGCATGCCAAAGATACCAATTCTCATATTATTTATACTGACGGCAGCAAGAAGGGAGGTGACTCCGCAGGACTTGGAGTCGTATACCCGGAAAAAAAACTAAAAATAGGATTAGCTATTCCAAGTGCTTGTTCCATATTCACAGCGGAATCGATAGCCATATATATAGCGCTTCAACAAGTTGAGCGTAGTAATCACTCTAAATTTATTATCGCTTCTGATTCATTAAGTGCTTTGGTCTCTTTAAAATCAGTTAAGTTAAATGCTAAAGTCAATATCCATATCCTGAAAAGCAAGCAATTGTATAATTCCATACTCATCAAAAGTCCTGCTAAGTTAATAAGCTTCTTGTGGCTGCCATCGCACATTGGTATTAAGGGCAAGAAGCGGCGGATGCTTTGGCCAAGTCCTACCTAACAATAAATCCTAACAATTCTATTACTGTTCCATATACAGATTATTTTGAGAGTTTTAAAAAAATATCATATGATAATATCATGAAGTACTGCAAAGAACAAAGTTTATTTGAAGGCAAGAAATTTTTCAATTCGTTGCACACAAAGTCTAGGAAAACATGGTTTCACAACATTCACACTAGCCGAAAATTTATAACTACCATCAACAGAATTAGGGCTGACCATTACAACTTAGCCGCCTCGTTGTATAAAGTCAATATCGTAGATAGCCCAATGTGTGCTCATTGTGGTGATTATGAAGAAGATCTCAATCATTGTGTCTGGCAATGTCCATTATTTGATAAAGAAAGATCTGTTCTTATTGATAAATTAAAGAGACTAAAAGTAAATTTACCTTTAAATTGTGATATATTGTTAGAATCTCCTAAATCTATCATTGTAAAATATTTAGTTCATTTTCTTGAAGAATGTCATAATTTAATATAACCAATTTTTGTATAATATTGTTACACACCTTTTAACTCAATAAAGATCAGCCGAGGTAAGTCTCTCATTGAGACTTGAAAGGCACCATATAAAAAAAAAAAAAAAGTAAGCTCTAAAATTAATAGATTCATGTAAAACGTAGTTTATGGTTGTTTGCTAACTAGTAAATTTTTTTGTATAATTATTAATTTATTAATTATTAATTAACATTTTTGAATTTTACTTTGAAAACTACTTAAAAATGTTAATTGATTATATATATATTTTTTTGTAATTACATTGCTTTTTTTAATTATACACTGTAGAAATATTGAAAAAAGTCGTACATACATAAACACATATATTACTTAATAAAATAGAAAATGGAAATTTATTAAAAATGCATGTTTCCCTAAGGAAAAAAACTAAATATATATGATAGAATTTTACATAATAAATCATAGAAATGAAATTATAATTATTATATTCTTTACAAAATTAATCACTTTTTTTTTGGTGCTTTAATTTGTTCTAAAAATATTATATATGGGTCAGAATAACATCTTTTTAAAAAAGTGTGCGCACGGGGTCAACCGATCGGCCTGAAACTTGGAATATATATTCTGCATTACAAAAAAGTAAATTTCCCCAAATTTCAGCCCTCTAGGTCCAAAATAACGCCCTCAAGACTGTTTTAAATTCGAAAAATCACCTTTTTTAAGCCATTTTCGGTCCATATTCAAACACCTCCCAAATCTCAAGTTTTTAAGCTACAGAAACGGGCGGGGTCGCATTTTCTTCGTCTCTTTAAGGGCTTTCCAACGAAGTAATATAAGATGAAGGTTTTACCAATACCAAGAAGCCTAGAGGCTTGTAACTGAACTGTAATTTTCACGTTTTTCGCTGATCTTTAAAGTCCTGTAGTATCGTTGGTTCTCAATAATTCTCATTTTTGAACGACAGTATTGGATAGCTCTTGAAAAGACAAAGAAAATGCGATCCCGCCCGTTTTTCTAAACCTAAATGCAAGGGAGCTACGTCTTGTCAAAGTCAGCAATTTTCGCTGTAAATAGCGTTCTAGGCTAATTTTGAACCCGTCGGAAATTTTTCTATCAAGCTCGAGCGAGCTGAAAATTTCAGGGAATACTTATTAAGTGTTCCCAAACAAGGTCCAATATGTTTGACGGAGTATATCGAGCGTTTAGTCCTACTATAAATCCACTAAAATATCCGATTTTCCTCTTCCCGGCAGTTAACAAAACAAGCATGGGCAAGCTATCTAATGAATTTCTTGTGGCCTCCAAAATAATCCTTGTTTTCGGCTTATTACAATCAAGGGACTGCGTGAAATAAGGGCCCTCAATCGCAATGTGGATCTATCAATTGAGTTTTTAAAAGTACCTCCAACTGTTTATCAACATTCTTGATTATTGTTGCTTATTCGAAAAATGCCGATTCAAATTAATAAATTGTGCATTTTTTGTGAAGAAGAAATCTCGAAAATTTCAATATATATATATATATATATATATATATATATATATATATAAATGTATATATATATATATATATATTTACATTTATATTCGATGAAAGTACAACAAATGCTCTTCCATCACTTTTGTAAGGGGTCGTCGTTACACATTACTTGAATTCATAAACAAAATGAATTTTAACTAAAAATAACTTACAGCAATCATTCATCCAATTATTTTTTAATAATAGTTTTCTTAAAATTATAAACTAATCTTAACGGTTTCTTTATTTAAATCAAAAGAATATAGTTTGACTTTCAAAGTATCTTTATCGATGGGTTCAACATAATGGATTTTTCTAGTTCCAGTCACAGTTTTTGCAGAATTGAATCTTTTGGTTAGTTTCTTGTTCCATGCTACAATTTCACTCTCATTAACATAAAAGCATCTGCAACGTAATACAATTTTATTTAGTTACTTATTCACAACATGAATCGTGAAAACAAATCTTACCGAACAGCTAATTTGAGTGTACTCAAGTGGTTGTACATTTGAATTGCATTCAAAATTTGAGTTCCTTGTTAAGAGGCTTTTCGAATCAGCCGTTTAATAAATCCTCCTATGCCATCACATACGCTCTTTCCGTGTGAAGTAGCGAAGAAATTATATTCTTCTATTATTATTCCGAAGTCTTCTGCATGGAAGCACAAGTTAATAAAATGATTCCTATAAGAAAGATCATTTGAATTAGGGTGGGTAGATATGTAAACTGTTAAGATAATCTCTTTAAATTAATATTAATAAAAGTTGATTAACAAAATTATAAAATAATAAAAAATTTATTAAAGAATGTGAGCTTACTTGTTTTTAAATTGTGTCGGGGCACCATCAGAAAAATGAATTAATTTTTTAATCCAAGGAAATTTTATTTTGATGTCATCTATTATTACTTTCATGAATTTATTAATCGAGTAAGCCCGATGAACTAAACTTTCTGAAATTACGCAAAATGTTTGATGTTTTAATTCATCTGATGTTTCCTCTTTGTAATACACTGCTGTAGTAAATAATGTGGCAGATGAATTGTTAAAGTAGAATCCTTGAGTTGAATTTTGACTTATGTATGCATAGTTTTCGGCGAAATCCATAATAAACAATCCATTATCTTTGCCTAAAGTCTTTTTACAATGTACGAAATAATCTTTTTGAGCCGAAGAGACAAAGTGATGATCAGTAAGCTTATAAATATCCTCAACTAATTCATCTAAAAAGACATTGAAAGGTTCTATGAAGTTCTTGAGCGAAACTCGTTGATTTGTTGATTCTTCTGAAGTATTATTTTTTAATGATACAGAAGTCCATATACTATAAGATATATCATTTATATTCTGATCATTTATTTTAGACAATAGAAACTCACGAATTCCATTTTGCTTAAGACAATCATCACATTTTTTTAACATGCATTTTTTTTCTTCAACAGAGCATACGCCAGCCACCATAGCTTCTTTGTAATTTAATGATGGCAATAGTGCAGATAATTTCAACTTTACATTTTGATGCTCTTGGCAAACACATATGTTGTGTGTGCCAGGTTGTCCTGCAAAAACACATTGCTCAGGTTTACATTTAGCAAAATATGCTAAACATGGTACAGTTTCGTAATTTCTGTCATCAATCGAATTCTTGTAGAGATCTGATATATCATGAATTATAATTCTTTTTTGTTCAAGTACGTCTGGTTCGCCAGGTTTTTTTATGGTTACATATTCCTTCATGCCACTGCACATTATACTATTTTTATCGTCTAAATAATAAGATTCAATATCTTGTTTCACCTCAAGGGGAACTCGAAGATATGATTTTTGTACCTTGCGACCAAGAATGCCTGAAAAATAAAATATAGACACAAATTGGCTCGGAGCAACATAAAATAAATCAATAACTATTATTATTCCGACTGTTATTTAAAAAAATTATTATTAGTAGAACGATTAAACATAACTCATAACCAGTAAAAATGTACTCTTTTGAATAAAATTAAAGGATTGCGAGCTATGTTTTTATGTTATTTTCAGAAAAGTGTTTGATAATTTTTAGAAACAATATCATTATAAAAAATAGCGACGTTCATACGAAAACTAGAACTTTTGAGAACTAATGAAAATTTGCCTTATTCTAAATTACGTACGAATCTTGAAATAGTTATGAAGAAGCAATTTCTGACTGTGATTGTCGAAATTCAACAATTTTATCGGTTGCTATTTTTCTTACGAGATTTTTAAGATAAGTTTGAAATCACCGAACTTTGTATGAAATTCTAGAAGTGCTAGTTCTAGTATGGCACTTCCATAGAATTATTGAACAATAATATTTCTCGAATATTTCACAATTTTATCCAACTAGAACTTCAATTTTCAAAATTTTCTAAATCTATTTTAAAAAGTTTTAATGAATCTAGCCATTTGAAAATGGTATAGAGACTTGCTAAATATTTTCTAATATCTTTTACAACTGAAGAAAGAACAGGCACTTCCATGTATTCTTACGCAAGATAATTAAGATGGCTTTCCACCTCAAAAGTGACCAAAAAATAAAAAAACTAATTTTAGGGTTATTGCAGAAATATAATTTACAGATCCCGTAGAATGAGAAAAAACAACTCTTGATATGAAAAATAATTTTTATCCAAGAAAAATACCAATAAACCAGGAATTAATAAAAAAAATTCGTATTTTGTCGATTTTTAAGTTTAGGATAACTCTACATTCATATGAATTCTTATAATTGTTGCAAAAATTGGTTTAATGGTGTGAATAAAAATTTGAATATGCATACAAAATACATTTTCTTTTTTTAGAAATTTGATTTCACATTGCATGTGATGCCGACTTGTGATTAATGTCTGATCAGTCTCGCCGTGTTTGGTTAGTTAGAAAATGAACATAAAGAAACAAAAAATATTCAGCTAGAAATATTTCTACTGATATAGTTGTTTATTGTAGTTTGTTGTTATGATTTATTCCACGAGAAATCAGGTGATTTCTCACATGAGAAATGACATGATGTGATGTCATATAGTAAATCACTCTAAAAAACGCGACAAATTGAGTTCAAATAAAAAATCACTTACTAAATTAATAAGATAATACATGTTCAATTGTTATCAAAAATTATAGTAGCTTTTTATTTTTTTTCAAATCAAAATAAGAATAAAATTTCACAATTTTTAAAATATATTCAAGAAAGTATAACATTATGCCATAATAAAATAACTCTGATCTCTCCAAATAAAAAAACATCAATATGTTTGGAGGATCTTTTTATATTTTCAAAATTTTTGTAAATCTGTATTTAAATAGAAAGATGATTGTTGGAAATAATGAAATATATTGAGTTGAATTAATTTTCCAATAACTCTAAGAAAGCAATAAATTAAATCATGTAGATTAAATCATACAATTTTTTTTATTATCAGGTTTTTACTTTGATATAGGTTTCATACAAAAACTAGTACTTCTATTTGTAACGTAAAGACATACACTTTCATGATCATTTACAGATTTTAAATTTAAAACCTAGTTCTCATTCAATCAACATTCTATAAACTTAAAACATATGTTTAATTAATAATTATTACTATGTTTAATTATTCATTAATTAATAATTATTCATACCAAAATGTTGTAATAGCATCTGTACGTACCAAATGAATTCTTTACTTTCTTAGCTTAAGCGTATATGTAGTATGTGCAATTGAAATATTTGGATACTGTTGTGAAGCTCCAATTATCTGGCAGCAAAGTTAATAAACTTATTTTTTCTCCAACATTTTTGCTTTCATTATATTTCAATTTAATACCATTAATCATGTCATTGAACCAAGAACTTTCATTTTGCATTTGTTGCAAATTTTCAAACCGAGGTATTTGAACACCATAAGCTTCTTCAAAGCTTTCAGAAACTTTACATGCAACATCTTCTACTATATTAATTCCATTTGTCGCTATTCGATCATTATTCAACTTTAATCTTTTAAAAGGTGGAATACCACATACATCCAATATCGCATCAAAGTTTCTCTTCTTTTGACTAGCAGTATCGTAACTTGATCCTGCTGTACTCTCAGTATTTGGAGATTCACTGCTATTGTTTGAGAATTCTGTACAAGAGTTAATGATTGGTGGTTGGGATGATAATTTTTCTTTCGCATATTCTATAAATTCAGATTGAATTTGATTTTCACATGCATTACATATTTTGTGGTCAGTCGTATATTTTTTGTTGTGAACTGTTTCCAAAAATGAAATGAATTCCAAATTTAAAAAGACAAGACCACTGTTCATTTTAAATCTATGTTTTTCATAAGGATCTACACAATTCAAGTATTCTGTTTGATAATCACTAATTGACTGATTTAATGTTGATAAACAATTTGTACATATTTTATGACCTGCTATTAAATTGATCTTACACTCTTTAGCTCTCAAAATTAAATCTAACTTCATTTCTTTCAATCCAGAAGTGATATTCTTATCACGATGTTTATCCCAAGGATTGCAACATTTTTTTTTGATTCACTGAATAGTATTTTATGAATTTTTCACTGTGATAACCGCAAATACTTTTATTTTGTAAATCTTGAGCACCAGGTATTCTGGAGTATAAAAGTTGAATACTTTCATCATCCAAATCTTTTATATTGAAAATATTTTCATCAGACTTTTTGCTATAAATTTTTAAAAAGCAAGGTTCATTCGTGTGTAACCCAATGGAACACTGAGATGTAGTTTCCATAATAATATTTTCCTGTCAAATAGTAAGTCAAAAACTTTTAAAATAAAAAAAAACACGTTAAAGAAACTTTATATACCATGAAAATATATGAATTAATGAATTAAATAAAACAAATTTATTATGAGCACATCAGACTCTGGTATAGTTAAATGTAAATATAGCTAGAGTATTAGCAAAGAAATAGCGTTGATAGAGGGGTCGATATACGATATCCGAATGTCCAAGCAAAAGTGTCCCACCTAGTGGCGACAACTAAAAATAGTCGGAATTATACCAAACAAACACCCATAACTTACATACCGTTGTACATATGTCAAATAAACACGTAGAAGAAGTAAAGCTCATACATATTCTATTAGTTCCAATATTTTTACTACTTTATGATTCTTTTTATTTATTATATTATATTTTTATTTATTATTTTATATTTTTTATTTATATTTTTATTTATTATTTTATATTTTTTATTTATATTTTTATTTATTATTTTATATTTTTTATTTATATTTTTATTTATATTTATATTTTACTTTTATTTTATTTTTATTTTTATTTTTATTTTTATTTTTATTTTTATTTTTATTTTTATTTTTATTTTTATTTTTATTTATACTTTTTATTTATTATTTTATATTCTATTTATGCTAGACATTAATTTTAAAAATCACCGCTTTCGCAGCTCTGCAATGGTATCCCAGTGTTTTCATGAATTTTTAAACTTCATTATCAAAATTTTGTTCTCACACCATATTAATAACTTACAAAAAACAAATAGTTTTTTTCCAATTCAACTACATATTTTTTTATGAAATATTGTTCGTTTTATAAACAAATGACTTTTGTTACTTTTCCGTAAAATGCAGATTCGGAAAGTTATGAAAATTTAAACATTGAAAATTAACCATTTTTTACTTTTTTTCCAATTACTAATCTATCTCGAGTAAGACATTTATATTTCGCAAAGCATTCAGTAAAATTTCTTTTTTCTCTTTGTAAATACAATTGTTATTGAGAAAAAATTTAATAGGAATAATGAAATTCATGAATTGTTGGTCATAATACGATGTAAACCCTCCTGAAAATTTGAGGGTAAGAAGTATCGGTTGTTTTTCGATTTCCACAGCAACCATATGAAATATTTTT